AGTCGCGACATGGCACCTGCTAAATGACGCCAGACTGCTCACCTACATCCAGTGGGTCTTTGATTTGAATGACTCGTGCACGCATGGTAGCTGTCGCGTGATAAGCAATACCCACATCGAGCTCTGCAGCGATACACTCAGTTGCTTCTGACGCGTTTTTAATGTACGGCAGAGGGTGTCAGAGCGTTGGTGGTTCCCTTTTGTTTCCCGTGAGGCAGCGTCTGACGAAGCTGTTCGGGTATCTATTCCTTGCGAGTTGGTCCCGAAAATGCCGTAGATCTTGCACCCGTCCCTCATGTTTACTGCAGTGCGCTTTCACCCTCTAAAAGTGCTTTACTACAGCCGCGTTTATGCGCCATTGGCTGATCGCTACGGAAGCTGAGCTCTTAATCGCCTTTCTACACACCATTGTGTTTAATTTTCCATTGGGTTTGCGCGTGACGGGGACGTCAATGAAAGGCAGTTATTCGGCATTATCTTTTTCCCCTGTGAATTGAATGTCGGGGAAGATGCTGTTAAGTAGGTTTCGGGACTCTACTCCGTTCGATTTTAACAAAGGTTTCGTCCACGTATCAACATCAGAATGCATGCTCGAATTGATTGAAAATGACTTTCTACAGCTCCTTTAAGACTAGTTCTGCGATTAGATTGGATATCGGGGAACCCATCAGCGCCCTTTTGTTCTGCTCGTATGTTTTACCATTCAAGGTGAAATCATATTTTGGCAGAAGACATAGAGTTGTAGTACATGGTCAATTTTTAAACGACCTCCTCCGATTCATCGTGTTCCTCTTCGATTGGTTTGTGTAGAAGGTCGCGTGCCAGGTCCGGTGATATAGATGTGAATAATGTAACTGTAATGGTTCGATCCGGTTGAACTGTTTTTTCCCCGGATAGCGGCCAGAAATTGGAAAGCCAATTAGACTGAGATCGTAGAGCCCTCTCGGATAAAATTTGGTTTTCGTGCCATCCATTTGTACAAGTTGTAATTGGGGCCGCCTTTCAACGCTATGATTGGCCGAAGGGCAACGTTTGGCTTGAGGATTTTAGGCAATCCATAGAACCGAGCCAGTGCTCTATCAATTTGCTAAATTCGACGCCATTCGTCTTACGATCTCACATTAGTACGCCGGTGTCCAGTAAGATATTTGATCATCGATTTAGCCTGCAAGGAAGGCGTGGGTTTGTAGGACTGTTGGTCGTCGAGGAGGGCTTGCGCTTCCCCATTGTAATCGCTGCGACCCATCACGACTATTATCTTTATTCTTTGTTCATTTTCAACTTCAGCGCTTCTTCTTCCGCGGATGACATTTTATTCTTGGGCGTATTCGTCATTAATAAGGAGGAGAATTTCTGGCGCACAGTGTACTTCACTTCGTCGGTTGCATTGCTTCTTATTAGCATGATCTACAATGCAACAAAAAATTCGGCTGGCTTAGCATCCACCATATTAGAGTTGGTTCTTGTTCAGTCAACTGCCTAGGCGATAGAGCATGCACTACGTGTTCGTTTGGCTTTGATGCCGGTTTTAATTTTCGATCTTCTGGTCTAAGTTCCTGTCTCACCTTTGCCGGCGTCAAGATTGTCCGCTCAAGGGAATTGACAACGGATTAGCCAAATCATGTCGTGCATTCTGCCTTCTTTTGTTTAATAACGGATCGGTACTTGCGAAGATGTAGGTGGCATTCGCTGATCACTGCCCGTATCATTTTCCTGCGAAAGAGTTGCATAAAGTTTCTGGCCAATTCAGTATTCACTGGAGTTCTGTAACGTGGGCGCAACTTTCTCACGAACACATCGGTGTAGGAATCGTAGCTGTTCGTAGATTGCTGCTTCTCGAGTGGAAACTGCCCGCCTGCTGCGAGCTGTACTACTCATTTCGTTGCAGTAAACCTATTTTCTTGTTTGCGTTCCGCCTTTTACCAATTCACTGCAGTCGCGCAAGAAAACCTTTATCGTCCTGTGGTTACCTTTAGTTTACTGGGCGCCGG